GAAGAAAATAATAATAATAATTTTGTTCAGTCATTCACATACTACTTACTATGATAGGTATATATATATATATATATACCACAAAACGAATTCCCGCGGCGCCCATTGTATTGTGATTGCAACTGCACCTCATTCACTCTGAATTTAAATGTTTCTGCATGTTTTTATCCGCCTTGAACTTTACCCGTTGATTTACATTGATTCTGTTTCTTTATTACCTTATTATTATTATTATTTTCTTCCAGGTGGCTACCGATTTTGTGCTCGAATGTACCCTTTGCGGGATCATGTCGGTGACAGTTTTGGTACCAAATACAGACTTCATCAAATATTACCTTCCTTTTCGTGCGGCATTCCTAATTACTCATTCCTCCGTATGTTGCGGTCACTGAACGCTGTTGACTGTGCACCTTCCTTCTCTGCGTCCTGCAGTTAATCTCGGTTTGATCGGTCCATCCCCTCGGATGAAACTGTCTGCCTTTAACCATAGATTTAGCCTGAAGTTTTTATATCACTTACCTACTAAGAAAATAGATTAACGACTGACGAAACAATGTTTTGACTGGAACGAAAATCTAAAAGGAATATCTTCATAAAGATAGACAATCGGCAAACTGGTTTGGTATCGCAGGTGCCATTCAGAATGCCCAACACAGGACAGTCCACTGAAAATGTTTCTCCCTCTTACCATTCAGTTTCCATTACTAATCTGAGTGAGATAACCCATGAAAAGAACTATTCCCATAATCGCGATGACTTACCACCAAAGGAACCGAGCTTAGAATTTTCTATTAAAATGTGGTTAACCCTGCCATCAAATCGAAGTGGCGGATGCAGAGTTGGAACTTCAGATCACGTGTAGTTTGAACCGCTCGATCATAACTAGAGTTTTACATTTCCATCATCAAGCGTGTCCTTTTGAGTATAATAATTTACTACAGTGAGGATATTATCTTGCTCATGAACTCGAATTTTCAAGCTCAGCGAAGCATTGAGCTTGCAGCTGCATTGCCCGGCTACGAAAAACAATCGAAGTCTTTTCACAAATCATTAATCATAGTCTTCCATGCGATTACGTGCTCTTCAGTCACTGTTTGTTAGATACCCGTCTCACTGCAGTTTCGCACCATGGTAGTTTTTTCAGGGCGATCTTCTGCTAAAGGGTGGTTTGGCTGCCATGCGCTGCACCTTTTACAGAGGTTGGTGCAACTGTTAATGGATACTGTTGCAGCTGTGCCGCCCAACTCAGTATAGACGTAGACCTTCCAACTCCAACTTCTCGGCGTTCGCTCACGGTCTAGGTCCCCTTACGATATCCGTGAGGAAATTTGTTACCAAATACAGCCCTTTGATGATGTACCTCGGTCGTGTGTGAACTACAAGCTAAAGTAATGCTGTCTTGTTGAAGCATGTTGAACCTTTCGAGATACCCTCCAACCGACCTAGCCTGCTTATCGAGTGGTCCACCAAATGTGGCGGCTGTCCAGTAGGAAAAAACTTTTCGGAGCAAGAAGCAAAAGCAGAATAGCAGATAAACACCCAAAGATGGGGGGGGAGAGTAGCATAATTAGCCTCCAGTAGGTGTTACTCACGAATATTTCGAATGAATCCATCGGGACCGGGTTCTGTGCCGGATATCGACTGCGTTACGATCTTCTCAGGAATTCAGCACAGTGACACCAGAGAATCTGTGCACTGTACGTATACAGTTCAAATTCCACATGCAGATTAGAATGAGCATAATATACCGACGGTGAATTGTGACCTCGATTGCTCTCCACCTTTTATACAGCATCAGGTCAATGCTATGGTCCACTAACAAGCAAGACACGGCAGAGAGATGTAGCTATTTGTTTACGTTCTCGTTCACTAGATGAAGTGTGGTTATACTTAGATAATTTCAGAGTCAGTCAGATGTAAGCGTGTTCCCCATGATTGATGTTGGGACAATCAACTGTCCATAGCGTCCAACACTTCAACCCTTGGGCATAGTTAAGATACGACGAGAGTTGTCATTGTAAAACCGTAATCCTCATGGTTGAATTATACTAAACTGGTCTTTCTGTCCTTTTTTAGCCTACCAGATGTTCTTTGCTTGCTGAAAGTACTGTTCAATGAGCACTGAAGAATTGGAATTTATCAGCTACAAGAAGCCCGAATTGTGAGCTCAATTTACATGGCAGTTTTTCTTGTTTAAAAATATTTATCCGACATCATTGTTGCTTTAAAACGAACGACAGCCTTCAATGAGGCCTAAATCGAGCGCAGCATATCACTCAGATAACCAGACCAATGTGTCAGATTCCACGCTGATGCCAAAGTTAGGAGATCAACTAAAAAAATGGTCTGCACCTGTCGGATGACGTGTCGTTCGTTACGTCAAACGGTACTGTGGTGAAGAAGACAGGACCGCTCTCGCTAGGTTTTCAGCGAGTTTCATGCTCAAATTGTTTTGTTGATCATTTAGGTTTAATCACTTTATCGGATTTACTCTCGGAAATTTGGCTCATCTTTTCGAAAATGAACAGTTAGTTGTCTTTAATGGTTACTTCACGTACGGACTTGGTGACTTATTTTCGTCCATCCCGGCGTAAGATATCATGCCGTCTGATTTGAGAGAGATCAGTCTCTTACACCGCTAAGTTGCTCGCGTGCAAATTTCCTTTGTTCACCAAAAGGCATGTATCTCAAGCTTTCATGTTATTACCAAGTGTTTAAGAAATCAGTTTGCCTCGCTATGTATTTGTGCTCACTTGATTTCTCGCACCTGTTTCCTATTTAGATTCTTCTTCAGGAAAACGAGTTTTTCATACTTCTTTCTGTTTCGCAGATGGGAACCTCCGATTCAACTGTTTGATTGTTCCTCTGAATATTTGGTTCATTGTCCCGTGGATTACAGTCTGGTTCAAAACCCTTTCTCAAAGAAGGTCGACAACTTGGATCCCGAAGACGAGACGAAATTATGGCAGAGTTTAGGTATCGTGCGATTGATGGAAGAGCCCAATTCGTCGGAGACGGCAGTGGTTGGGGACAATGGAGTTGAAGTAATTGCTTTATCACGTTTTTGCGGTCTAATGAATTTTTCTTAGTAAATACAGATCATTTTTAATGGACACTTTATTGCCATACCTGTAAACGTAAATTTCAGCTTGTATTAGCGTTCACACTACTGGAATTTATGGAACAAACCATAGTCATGGATGCTTGCTTCATTGCTTAGTGCATTAAGATATGAGCTTACGACATCTTACTGGTGATCAGCGGCGCTTTGACTTGCTGTGATTCAACCATCGATAGCTGGCTTAGGTAGTTGCCATGGTTGTTATTGCTTTATTTGTAATTCTCTAGTCTAAGCTGCTGACTATCTGAGCTATAATTTAGCTAATCGTAACCCTTCTTCTCGCGGTGTAATGTTGTTTGCTAGGGTTGAATCTTGCAGTTCGAAGTGGTAACCCCACGTAAGATAAGTGGGAATATATCGTCTGCTTATACTCCACGATATGCATGGTTATTAACTAGAACTGACTGTTTTCACATAGACCTCAGTTCATCTAGTCAACCGTACACTCAAGAAGCATGAGACTCCAGTTACCTTTTTGTTTGAGCTCATCAATAGTGCATATCCTGTTGGGGGGTTGAACTCCCTGACGTGTTAGCACTGACAGTCAGCTCACACCCAGAAGCTGACCATAATTACCAATTCAAGTTTGTTCAGATATCAATGGTGGTCAGTCAGTTCATTGGGTTTGAGAGCAGCGAAAAGAGACAGTCAACCAACTGTTAACTCCTTTCGAATGCCTCCCACCGATTGAGGAGTTCCATTTAGGCTCTGGTAATCTTGCCACAGGTAACCCTACTAGAGTAGATTTTAATTCAGTTACCTGTGAGTAGTGATGATGAACAAATGATGATGATTTACATTGACTTGTGTTCGGTTATGCAAGCCTTTGACACAATCATAACATTTTTCGTACTTTTAAAAACAGCGTTCCGTCGCGTTGATTTTAATATGAACCAGATAATCGTTTTTCCTTTTACTTGTGCCTACAGAATCCGATCTACTCTACTTCTGTACCCGCTTTGCATTCAAAACGAGAAATCAAACGGATCCGTCGTGTAAGTGATTTTTCAGATTTGAGCCACCATCAAGCTTGTTTAACCGTCGCTGATTGCCCAGTTGGTCGTCGCCGTCGCTATGAGTTCGGCAAGGAGACACCATATTAGTATTGTTTCTTGTGATCATGCTTTATTCAACAAGGCCACTACTCTGTAACCCGAGATGTGCACAGTCCTTATCTTGGCAAAAACACTTCGTGGTCGAAATTAAAACATAGTTATCAACCCGACTTGACCATAGGACAATCAGGACCGTTCAAATCTTTATCTCCTTCAGCAATAGCTAAATAAACTGAATTCATTGTTGATGATGTCACATCGGCTGGTGATTAAACGTTTGCAAACAAATTGCCAAGCTGGGCGAACAGACGAAATGGAATTGACTTCTTTGTGTTTCACTCGTCCCAACAGGCTGAACGGAAGAGTAAATTAGCCGGTTGGTATGATTTACCCAAACCAACCGTCACGGAGGAAGATCGTGAAGACCTGGAAGTGATCCGAATGCGTCGTGCCTTGTCCACTGAAACTCACGTTCGTCGGTCGGACACAAAAGCCAAATACTTTCAGGTGCGTTCATTTCCTTTACACGAATTCGTTTTTCCTTATGGTTCCAAGTTGTTTGTGAACCGCAGATGATGTCACGCTGTATTCATTGATATGGTACAAATTGTCTGAATGAATTGAATTCGTTTTATTTCCGAAATCCGGGGGCATTACCAGGGGCAGCAGGAAGCTGAAGCGCATGACGCACGATACTTCGATCGAATCGCGGCGGTCGATATATGTTAATCCCTATTTCTTACGTCCATACTTTATCAGTTAGTCCGAACTAGTAACGCGTATTTTTGCGTGCTGTTGTGAATTTTTGAACAAAGAAACACCCGTATCTCAGATTTAACTTGCCAATTATTCAATTTGCCCAGAAGTCTTTTGAGTAATCAGCGTAATAACTATGTCCATTTGAATATTCACACCAGCCTTTAACATTATACCACAAATTTTCTGTCCAGCTGTATAAGTCTTCAATTTGAGAAGTGTATATTGACAACTTACCTAGACCATGTTCATCCGTACGCACAATATGTCATTTTATGGTGTGCATTAATTGGTAGCTTGACTAAAATAGACGATCTCCCTGAAAGTGGTAATCATTGCAGCAAATGACACTCGTTCTGTTCCTCTTTACAGAAAGGTGTTGTTGTTGACGACCCGGGCAGTTTTTACGATCGGTTACCCAGAAAACAGCGGGGCAAAACGATTGTGGACGAGTTACTCGCGAATGCAGAACTTATGCGGTGAGTGTTGCTTATCGATATTTTTCCAAGGTGAAGAGAGCTATCTTGGCGATCCTGGGTGGTTGGCTACAATCTCTCGCCATGTAGCCCCACTGCCGAGTTTAAATTTGTTAAATTTTGTATAGCAGCACATCAGTTTGCGAGGGTTAGAGAGCCCAAAACTAAAAGGTGATTCACAGAATGCGTCAGGTCACTACGCAGATTTCCACCTATCATTGATTACATGTGGTAGATTCCGCTAATGAACATCGTAGACCCCCTGAATAATACATAACTAGCACCGAACCACATACTATCAGGAGCATCCAGGCTGTGGATAAAAGGATGAGTCGCGTGAAAAAAGTTCTGATACCGTGGAAGTGTAGCTTGTTTGTTCAGTTGAGCTACGTTTGTCCGGGTTCTTCAATTTGACACCGACCAGTCTATTTAGTATTGATGATTCATAGTTCAAGTTGCTGCTTATGGCGTGCAGTGGCCCACAAAACCTGACTTATATTGGTCTCTCGGTTGTTTACTACTTATTTCTTGCGCTGATCTTAATTAATTACCTGCTCGAGAATCTAGAGTATTACGGCAAAGCAGATCCCTCCGACCATGAGCTTCATATTTTTCTTTGTTGAACGCCTTTATGTACAATGAAGCTGAAAAACCTGCGGTGAAGATGAACAAGTATTGTCATCTGCACTCATCCCCCTACCGGAGGTGCCTCGTACTTTTTTTACTGGAGCTGACCCAGGTAGTGTAACTTTCATATGAATTCGGATGGTTATCAAGTGAAGCTTCGCAACCAACATAGCCGAATTCCAGGTTGTCGAACCACTGGCAATTCACCGAGAGGAGTTGACTAAAAACTCTCATTCCAAACCAACCACGAAGAGGTGCACAAACCACACGCCTTCCTGGCTGTTTGCAGTTATCGGCTTGATTAGACATCTTGGTTATTTGACCCTGTCCAATCCAGCCCCGAACAGATTGCGGACCAAACTGCGTCCGGTCAAGAAAAGTTGTGCCTTGGTTTGGGCAATGTTCCGCCCTCTAGTGATTGATGCATATGGCAATTAACCGACACCAGTGGTGTTCTGGTTGTCACTTCTTGTCAGGTCAGAATGCTTGGAAAGGTATGTATGCACAGTTTGATTGTGTGCTCTGTGTTGACCAGAGAGGTTCTTTTTGTTTGCCATCCTTTAATTAGACCCACACCTTGTCTGTCTTATACATTTTTATTGCGTGCATCGTGAGTTTGGCAGCGATCAGAGGAGTGCACTTGACTGTATCTCGCTGGACGAGGACATTTTTTCTTTGTTATAAAGATTATTTAGCCATCTGAACACAGACGCATGTATATATGATGTAATCTTATGGCAGACTACTATTTTGTTGTAATCGTTCATGATTTACAAGTAAAACGCACATTATGTCGGCTCCCTTCCTCCCTGCAGACAACAGCGTAGAAGATACTCCAAGATCGAACGTGAAAACGCTGAAAAGCGATCCGCGATTCGACGTCGGAAGCAGCAACTGCTCAAAAAGCTCAAGGAGAAGGGTGGCAAAAGACAGCGAACAGTTGTTGTCCCCACTTAACACCACCTGTATTTTCCACTGTACACGAACCCTGTTCCAATCACAATCGATTATAAAATTGAGTCACTTTTCTTTTCGGAGTGCAAAATTTCCTCTACGCAGTATGTCTCTTTGGAATTTGAATTCGATCATTAATTTGGATAAAAGGATTAGGAAACCCGAGCAACCTGAACAAAAACACTCCCTGGAGTGTCATTAGCGAAGTGGTTTTTTATATTTACACTGAATCCATACACGGTACATTTTAAGTTCCTTCTTCCGGTTAACTATAAGTCGGTGATCCAAAATGTTTTCCACCTCTTCCAATCCGCATCCAAGGAACAACTGCCGTAATTCTTCTGCAAAAGTAAAACGCAAAGACGAACGACATTACAAAAATGAAACCAGCACCAATAGTCGTAAATATTAAAGCTCATAGTGATTGGGTGGTGAACCCTTCGTACCGGAGGTGAGGACCATTATTCAAAAGCAGGATCCGTTCGTTTCGTTCTTTATCGCCACTCCCGTGCGCTGGTCTTAGCCTTTCACTTGATCAACGAATGTAGACGAGATGAATGATGTGCACAAAATGGATTAATGAGCTGCCGTGTGGACACTACCTATTGGTGGAGTTCGACTCCGGAACAGCCATTTTAGGAACCAACACGACTGACGCCTGACTGATATTTTTAACATCGAGTCAGACCCTGATCCGACTGCACTATCCGCCACATCACTGCAATCAGTGAAACAAGAAAGCAAATCTGGAACAACTGTCGACTGCTGTAAAGCTGAAGCTTTTGTGTTAATTATCTCAGCCTAAGCTTTATTCTTGTTTCGCGCGTCCTATTGTGTCACCGGACTCGCGCACATAGGTACTGTTTTTGCTCCACGCTGAAAATAGCCCAACATCGGTAGCATTCTCTCTCACGAATCGGAAAATGTTGTGGGAACGTCATCTACATATGAGATTGGCGAAAACACCAACTAAATTTTGAGAATAGCTCCAAAAGATAGCGAATTTTTATTTCCTACCATTAAGTACAGTGTTTAGAGTGGTGAAGCTGTTATGAGGTTGGAAAAACAATAGCGGATTAGCAGAGAGGAGGCCCCAGTCTTACGGTCTATCGAGAGACCAAAACGTGGTCAGCGCAGCTGCACTAATGTGGACAGTTTGATTAGTTATTTTATTTCCATGAATATTCATGGACATTAAAAAAAATCATATCCTTATCATGATGAAGCGAATTGTCTCGTGTTCCACATTTGAGGTGCCGAATCAGTGGATATATATATATATTACTCAAGGGAACTTCACAAACAATGGTAGAGAATTTGACTGAGAGGACGGAAAGATGCCTAGAAGACTGATTCGTCGAAGGCATATTTAACATGTCAGCCAAAGCGTATGAGACTTGGCTATCAGGCAACAAATAACCCCGCAGACTGCAACAGGAGGCCTTGCGCTCCGCATAAAGTCTCACTAGGTTGGGTGTACTATTGAACCGGACGACAGCGAAGCCGCCAGCCACCGGGTTCGAAGTTTGACCTAAAGTATATAGAGCATGCGACTTAAGCCGCCTGACCACCTCCACTTAATGAAACAGCAGTTACCGTAGGGATTATGTCCTCTTAGAGAATAAGTCTCTACATTCAATTTCGTGTTTGCCGTGAAACCATCTACCCTGCACTCATCCACGAATGAGAAGGCCGGCCAATGTGTACTTAAGATACCAGGAAGCTAGATGTATTTGGTTACTGGTGTCTAAGTCATGTTCTCAAAGTTAAATGGCCTAGCAGCGTCCAACAAAAAGTAGGCATTGAAATACTGTCACACCTCTTTTGAAGCAACCGGTTGCATTTGTCTGGCAATATCCTATAGCGCCCCGCAGACGGAGATAATCAAACACTCAAGTTTGATTCCTGTTCTGATTCGATAAATCGCTTTTGTGGACAGCTCAAAGCGTGGATTACAATGGCGGAGAAAAATGTAGTACCTTTGGGTCTTTGATCAATTTATTGGGTCCGGCAATTGAAAAGAAACAGCCAGGATTTGTGCCCACGCATCGAGGATCCACGGCATCCATAGAGCTTGTTTATACGTAACCGTAGAGAAGGCTTTATGCTTCCAGAAGGACTATAATTACACAGCTTCTTCAAGCCCGAAACTGGACGTCAGCTCGTTTTATGATGAATTTATTCGTTTTTATAGTTTCAATTGTTGATGCTTGGATTTAAACAGCTGGGGATTTTGTTAATGGATTAATCTAACCTTAAATTTCGTTTGCTTTGACAGACATCTCATCCTCCTACACGACAATATCGTCGCTTACCACTCTAGTACTTTTTCTTGCAAATCGAAGACACTGATCTCCATTAGCGACTACTTAGTTGACTGCTTCAAGACAAAAGTTAGTTCTAGACAAAACTAATGAACATGAAAACTAAATCCTTTTTTCACAAGTAAATTCCTCGTCATCGTTTCTTGGTGATTTTTATTTCAACAAGCCCTTTATTAGGGTTGGTCCAGCACCCAGCCTCACTCTAACTGGAGAAGTAATAGAACAGGTGGATAATTTTTGTTATTTGAGTAGCTACATCTCACCCGGTGGACGCATCACGGATGAAGGTCAGCTCGCATACAGAA